TGTATTTTAAATGCATCATTAAATGTTAATTTGAAAATTAGTAGCAAGAGTAAAATTTGGATAAAATTTGATTAAAATGAATTTCCTGATTATTGATTTCTGATATTAAAATAAATATTAAAAAATAAGCCAGTTAAGATAAATAATAATTAATTATAGAGATTATGAATTATTATGAGCTTTTATAAAATATCACAATTAATTTCGAACAATATTTTGATGGTAAATTGGAAGAGTTAAAACCGTGAAACTCTCAAGGATATGAATTGAAATAGCCTGTAGAAATAGCAGACAGTCCATGATTGCAGGGTCAAATGATGACAAGGACAACAACCGTATGAGTGTTAAGCTTTTTCGTTTATTGAAAATATCTCTGTAAAACGTGTGTATATTGTGGCCGGGCGAGGTAAGCCGACAAAACCGAATCTTTTTTTTTTCTTCATTTTTTCGACAACGAAACGAAATCGGGTAGCAAACGAAGGAATACGGTGAAGACATTAAAAACAATAATAGAGTCAAATCGTTATTTAGTTACCTACATAAGTAAAGGACGAATCAACGATGCATTCGCTTACTTTTCTTTTTTTCTTTTTTTTTTCTTTTAATCTTAGTATATTAATTATATTATGTATAACAAAGCGGTAACAACTTGTTAATTGTAACTATTACGGTAATAATCGTTTACTTTATATAATTACAATAATGTAATGTAAGGATGATCGTTAACTAATCGATAACAAACGAATCGTTTCCTCCTCCATCCTTCCTTCGTCTTGATCATATTTATTCTCGTCACTTCCTTAACTTCGTCTTTTCCCTATTTTTCTTCTCTTTTTTCTTTTATTTTTATGTTTGTATTTATTTATTTATTTATTTATTTTTTTGCTTAAATCCGATATCGATCTTCAGCTAAATCGTTTCGTTATTTATTTTATTCATATATTCCCTCTTTCGTATTAATTATTTAACAACAGTTTTTTTATTCCTTTTATTACTTGCTCTTTAATTTAATAATCGTAGTAAACATAGTAATTATTTATAATATTGTGCAAATAATCCATATTTTTATTTTGTTTAATAATAATGAATGTCATTCAACGGAGGAGCTCTTCTATATTCTCTCTTTCTCTCCCTCATTTTCTCTCTCTTTCGCTCTCTTCTCGCTTTCTCGCTCTCCCTCTCTCGCGCTCTCGTTCATTCTTTCCCTCATTCTCTCTCTCTCTCTCTCTCTCTCTCTCTCTCTCTCTCTCTTTCTATTTTTCACACATACACGTTCTTTCGCACGCACTCTGTCTCGATGTCTCTCTCTGCTTGCTCGTGCGTATTCACGACACGCATTTGCGCATGCGCGCCGTCGCGGCACACGTCCGCGCATGCGCGCACAAGCACGGAGCACGCATTTGAATGGACGATCCTTCGCGCGTAATGTTTTTTTTCGACAGCTAGCTCGTTAAAATTGGATTTTTTTTTTTTTTGGTTTCTTAGCACATTTCGTCTATCTAGCTTGTTGACCCATGGCAGTTGCTTGTTCATTATACTGGCCGACAGGCTCCATAGCTTGACACTTTACTCGATTATTCTCTGTATTTTTTTTAAATCTTCTTTTATTTAACCCAACTCTAGAATTTTTATTTCGTATCTTCTTTATATAGCTTTTGTGTATTTCATCGTTTTATTATCTGACGTTTAGGTTAATAAGTTTCGAGAGTTTCGAGACACTACAAAGCCCTTTTTTATTTTTGTTCGCTATCCGTTTAAGAAAATTTCGTGCATTTACGATTAGTTAACTTAGTTTCATTTCTTCTTTATACAATGCGTAACGGCAGTATCGTCCACGGAGAAAGTACGTTTAAATCTCGTCTTACCTCGCTTAACGAAGGAAAGCCCTATATGTATGTATATATATATATATATATATATATATATATANTTTTTTTTGTTTCTGGTAAAACGAAAATTAATGAAGCACACCACGCATACTCTTCCACCCCCCTCCCCCTTGTTTCTTTTCGCAGCCATAACAAATTTTTTTGGCCGATCGAACATTTTTTACCGTTCCCGAGCTTTTTTGTCCCGAGCATTACGCACAAACGAATTTCCAAGCAACCCTTCGAGACGCGGAAATTGGAATTTCTAATCTCTTTATACTTTCCTTTCCCTTAACGACCGTAGATTAAGCGGATCGAATGTTACCAAGTTTACCAACAATCGGTAAACGCGACTGAAAATTGGGGAAGTTGCGATTCAATCGAACATTCGATCACGAAAAATCCGAGCAGTCATCACGTTCACAATAAAAATGGATAAAGAAACTATGGATAAAGAAGAAAAAAAAGAAGAAAAAGAAGAAGAAAAAGAAGAAGTAGAAAAAGAAGAAGTAGAAGAAAAAGAAGAAGAAGAAACGATATTCATTCGATGCCTCTCAGGGAAGAACGATTTTTATATGATTCGCAAAATCAATTATCGTTAAAAAGAGGCCAATGTGTTTTGGAACACTTTCTGCACGATTGCATTTCGTTTCGTTCGTTACGCCCTGTTTACATATTTTTTTTTTTTAATCTAGCGTTTGTCGTGTGTCTCGAGAGTTTTATTGCTTCTAGAAGTTCGCGGTTGCCCATTCGACAAAGTAGTATCGAAAATATATATGTATATTATTTGCGTACAAACCATTTGATTATTATCGAATTATTTGCACATATTACAGCACGGGAGAGGTTCGAAACATAAAAAGGGGCGAGAGGGGGTATCTGAGTAATTAGACAGTGAGCCGGACGGACCATCAGATACGTCGTACTTCGATAGAAGAAGGATCGACGAGTTAAATGAATCGTCGTCGATCGATCTCGTGCCTCTATTCGTTTCGTTTCGTCATCATCGTCGTTCGTCGTGCTTCGTATATTAGATTATATTATGTTATATCATGATCGTATATTTCGAGTATTATCGTGATTATTTTGATCTCTACAAAACAATATTTGAATAACGTGCGGCTAGAAAAAAATTCGAAGATTCTCGTCAAATATAATATATGCAAACAGGAACGCATCACACAATACTTTTTTTAGGCATAATCCATATCCCTGCTTTTTCGTTGCAGAAAATTATTGAGATAATAAGTGGCGTGATGGATCTGATTGTAATTGATGATAATGCGGATATATTATTGGAATTCAGAATCATTTTAAAGAGAGATTCAGAGTATAAGAAAGTCGAATCTCGGAAGAAACGAAGAACGACGATCTCTTCCGAACGAACGAGTCGCGAGGACGCAGTCACGCGCATGCGTATACTTTGAAGCGTACTCACGAAAAGATCATCGAATGGCCCGCGACGAGAATCGTGAAATGCAATTATAATATACGTAGAAAAGGTACGAGGACATTAATATCGGACAGGCTTTTCTAAAATACTTTGACAAAGCGGACTCGACACCGATAGTGTGTGAATTATTTGTACGAGTAATTTACAATGATTCTCACCCTCTTGAGCCTTCGTAGCTTAAAATAATGAACATTTGTTTTTCTTTTTATCTTTTCCATATTTTCTCATTATTTCTCGCATTATTCTGTACCTAATTGCATATCTGTATTTTGCCTAATCTCATTTTCAACTTATGTGTAATAAATTTACACCGTTCCCGGCTCACGTAACATTCATAACCATCATTTTTGTTATGTTCTCGTCGTCGCTTCTGCTATATATTCCAAATACAATCTTCGAGCGAGCTGCGAGTTTTTTGCCACGTCCGTTTTCGACCAGCGAGAACGATTCTAGCTTCGTTTATTATAGCGTTTCCGCCCTCGCTAACACGACACCTGTTTCCGGTAAAACACACGAGTAACAAGGTGCGTTCCTCGTTCCTTTTCCCATCGTTTCTTTCTATTCCATTTCAGAACGCGGATGTAAACGTAGAAAAATAACGATTGCGCAATCCGCGTTAACACACACACGCACACACATTAGTTCATGTTGTCCTCTGTGTTGCCTCACCACCGCACGCTCGTTGCGTGCTAGCCCGAGATAACTTTCGTTCGTGTAAGTACCTATATGTATAATATGCATTAATCTGTACTTTGTACGGCAAAATGAACTGTGCATTGCCGTCATTATAGACAGACGCGTTCCAACGAATTCTCGTTTATCTCCGTGTGCATATCACTTGCAACGCGTTCCTCGATTCACTTCACTATACCTATGATTTCTTATGTTGCACGAGAACGATGCGATTGAGGTTATTGACTTGTGATAAAATCGAGTGCCATGTTTACGATTATTGAAAATTTTATTCGATATATATCGAAATAATTTTACTCGATCGTAATACAATCCTACCATGTCATCTGAAAGACAAGATTGTATTATTTATGAAACAGGCACGCGATCCTTCACGAAATTATTAAGCACGTAAACCCGTTCGAAATCGAGCTGGGAACTCGAACGATTCCTTTCTTCTATGAAGCATCGATTTTTTTTTCTTTTTTTTTTTTTTTTTTTTTTTTAATCGTTTAGAATATATATCGAAATTTTTTTAAATATTTGTTTCGTGATTCATAATGAAAGAAAATGTGTAGTTATTTTGTCAATTTATCAGTAATCGTTATTATTCTTACGTGCATCTTCTCGAATCACGAATGGAAATGGTACAACGTACTTTTTGGGCGTTTTTGCATTGTTTGTTCTCATATAGAGATAAATCACGTTTGATAATTCAACAGAAACTGTGTACTAAATATTTTAAACAACAAACAGCAAAATAATCATTTGAAATCTTAACAATTTTTGTTGAAAACTTAACGTGTCATTTTGGCATCTATTATTAAACTAAGTAGAATGACACAACTTTTTCACTCAGATTTTATAATAGAGAATTAAAAATGTTAATGAATTTTTAATTTTAAATTTTGTCTGAAATGTAAATGATTTTTTTATATTGAAATATTAAAAAAATTATTTTAAGCAAAAATTATCGTATCGTATCTAAAACACTTTTTTAAATTTCGAATTTATCCCGTTATTATTCTATCCCATTATTATTATTCATTAATTATTTTTACAACTTTTTATTTATTACTTTAACAATTGAGTTAAATTTTGATAGAAATATAATTCAAAAATGAGTTAAAAATAGTTGTGTCCAGTTCTACATTATCAACCGAGTTAATCTTTCATTTTTCCACATTATTTAAACATGCGGTATTTTATACTTCGTTTTACTCATTTTAATGATTAGACTACGCGTTTTACTGCGAGACGGGTTTACGGGCGCACGGTTGTCGATTACAATTATTCGAATAACGTTACACTATTATGTATATTCATTTATTCCAAAGCGCATCACTACGTCGTGTAAGATTGTGTCTGTGTAAGTTTTTGCAAATGTGTAAATATCTAGCTGATGATGATTGCGAAATTTGTATTTGCCATTCCTTTTTCTTCTCTGTTCCTTTTGGCAAGAAAACTAATTATTAATTATAAATATTGAAAAAAAAATTTTTTTCCAAGAAAGAATTTTTTACCAAGAAAGATTTAGCTAAAAATTTAAATCTGTTTTATCAAATGAGTTATCACAATCGTATTTCTTCCTAATTCTTTATAAAAGCAATTTTTCGATTTCTTAAATAAATATATTGCTGTAAAATTATCAGATCGTTAATAATAATATATAAATCAAATGATAGATCATTGATGATTGATATTTAAATATAAAAATAGATAAGAGGAACAGAGAAATAAAGGGTCCGATAAAACAAAGCCGCGCATTTGGATTTTTGCGCATCGTACTGCGCAAAATTTGTTCAAGCCGAGCAAATTGTAGTAAACTACGCGTACATTTCACATTATTAACATTCTTATTCACCATCATCATCATGATTTATAATCGTTATCTTAATCATTCTATGATCATCCTCACTATTATCGTCAGTTATGATCAGCATCTTCATCAATGTCTTCGTTTTCTCCGTCATTTTTCTCTTTTTCCTTTTTTTCAGTTTTAAGTTCAAAAAACTTTCTCGTATTTATTATACACCACAGTACGATGACCAGAATAACAAATAAATGAACAAATGTCACCCACGAACCTCGACCGCAGCGAATCAACATTGATTTTTTTATTACATTTCTATATATTTTTTAACTTCTTTTCGTTTATGTTGTGTTTGTCAGCGAATTGGCGAGTCGCTGTCAAAACCGTGTAAAAAATCCAATATACGCGGATAGAATTTTATGAATCAGCTCTACCGATAAGTTTTCTTTTAGAGAAACGATCGCTCATTTCTCTCTCTTTCTCTTTTTTTTTTTTTCTTTTTGCAAACGCGGCAATATCAACTATCCCACCGTAGATCTTCATTTCATTGTCGGTCATGTGAAAAGATTTTTCATTTCATTGCGTCTCGAGTATGCGTGCAGCTAACGCAGCCGGCGCGGATCGTCATCGTCATCGTACGATTTCTAAAAAAAAAAAAAGAAAGAACGGTAAGAAGTACCGTAACGAAGTCCATCGAAGGCAGGAATACTGAGCGCGTAGCAACGTTAACCTTCGAGCCCTGGTTTATTTTTAAAGGGGGGGAAGTCGACTCGAAGATTACGTTGTACAGAGTCAAATACACTTTTCTCTATACACCGACTATCATTATATTCTTTATATGTGTTCTTTCCTGTTAAAGTTCTTGTCCTTCGATTCCTCTTCGTATGTCTATCCGTATCTTCGTTTCATAGTCAAATCTTATTTTTCAATTACGATTCCATGAATTCCTCTTGCACCACGGAACGAGAGCCGAACCAAATTCAATAACGAGCAGGGACGATTGATGATATCAACAACTTTATGTTTCTCTCTATCATCTTATTATTTGCGCCCCGTTTTTAACTCGTTCAAGATAAACAAACACATGTCTCGTGTATCCTAATCCTCGCTCGTGTATTCATCAGCTAGCGACGTGTCTTTCCCAACGATCGTAGCGTTTACAGTAGATTAAAGGCAACTCGTTGGAGGAATGTATTTTTTTATTTGTTTTTTTTTTTTTTTTTGGTTTTTTTCTTTCTTTTATTTTTTATACAACTATAAGGCTGTCGATGGAGAGCGCGCGCGAGGTCCGTGAGGCCGCTGCTCCTTGCGAGCAGTATCAGCACTGCAGACGCTACGTGAAATTGACGCGTCTGTCGGTAATTCTATAGCTGTTAATCGGCGATGCTGCAGATGGAGCGATCGTCGCACGGACGCCGCCAATTTGTGGTTCGTGGTGGCGCTTGCTACGACGGTGGCGGTGCTGGAGACATTATGGACGCCGATCAGACGTCCGCGGTTCTCGAAGTTACGCTCGGCGATCGGCTATGGATGACAACTCTGTGGCCATTTTTCGTTACAAAACCGTCACTCTCGACTAAGACTGCGGTTTGTCTGACCCGTGGATCCGTGTCAGCGTCATCGCTTTCTTCGCTGGGTCCGCCTAGACGCTGTTGTTTGTGTTTTCTCCAAGCGTTCTGGATCAAACGCGCGCAATATTCTTCACGCTGACGCCACAAAGTAGAAGAGACCGGTTCATAACCAGTTTCACCTGGACGCGTTTGAACCTCGAGCTCTGCTGTCTCCTCAATCGGATTACCCTTACGCGCGAAGAAGTCTTTGGTGAGAGCATCCAAGATGTCCACGCAGAACATCATATCTCCTTTGCATATAGGAATGTCCATCGATACGATCTTGTACTTGTTCGGCTTGTGTATCTGCAATGGCGGTTCGAGCACGTCCAAGAAATCGGATAACTGATCGTATCTGATGTACTGTGTTCCGTCTGGATCAAACTGTTGCCAGATCTCGTAATACATATCATAATCATCATCCGTCAAACCTTCTTGCACATCCTCGGTCGCTTGAGAATAGTTCTCCAAGATTACGGCGATGTACATATTTATCACGATTAAAAAGCTGATCACCAAATACGAGAGAAGATAGGCAATGCCGATCGTAGACGAACCACAATTGCCCGGATATCCTATCTCGTTGTTTGGTTCCTGGCAGTCCTCTTCGTTTATTATACCGTCAAGAACACCGTCCCAACCAGCGGACGTTGACATCTGAATAGATTTATGAATTTTCGTTTAGATATATCTAGATAAAATTTATAGAATATAAAAGATTTAATGTTTAATTACCTGGAATAGCAATATCATCGACTGTCCAAACGTTTTAAAATTGTACACATCATCCAGTCCGCTTTTATCTTTCACGTGCATGAAGAACGACATTCCAAAAATTGCAAAGATAAACATCACCAAAAACAGTAATAGGCAAATATTGAAGAGAGCTGGTAACGACATCGCCAAGGCGAAAAGAAGAGTTCGAATACCCTTGGCACCTTTCACGAGTCGAAGCACACGACCGACTTTTGCCACCCTTACTACACGAAGCAATGTTGGCGATACGAAATACTTCTCAATAATATCGCTGAGAACCAGACCTAAAGGGAATATGTACATATTTATTAGAATAAATTTAATGTTTTATAAATTTACTATTAATAGATAGTAAGAAAGGATGTGTGCTGTCTAAGGTAAGGTTATGTGATCTAAGTAAATTGGTGCCATCTAAATTAAAGAATATTTTAGAAAATCCATGCAAAAGATTTTTCACGCAAGATTATTTATTCTATAGAATTTAATTCATTCATCGAAGATAAAACATATAAAAAATTATGCATTTTTAGTTCTAATTGATTTTCTGTAATGAATGAATATTGTGTTTTTTATTTCATTTAACTTTTTGAAAATATTTAAAAAAAAAAATTTGAAAGTGTATGATGCATGATTTAATATTTAAAAAAAAGATTAGATTAAAAAGATTAAAAAAAACATGCATCACGCAATCCTAAGAATTATCATTTCCTGTTCTCTAATTGTTTCTGTATCTTTGATTATAAATCAAATGTAACATGCATTTAAATTGATCGAAAAATCAGAAAGTTGATTAAAGCTCGATCACTCGTTACACATTATGTGGTGCTGTATTAGAGAAAAAAATGTATTGATAGATTTTTGTGTTTAAGTATTAGAAATTGAGCACACTACTAATCAATTGCTTTTTTCTAAGAAAAACTAATGTTGAAAAAAGATATTTTTGTAATACAGACCCCCTCTTACCCGACTTTTTGATTAATGATCGTCTTTACATCAATCAACATGTGTAAAACCAATGAAATACAACATTATATCGTTACAAAAACTCGATGAATTAATTTAAATTTTCAATATTAATATATTACTTATAAATAAATAATATAAGTAAATAAATAATACTATAATATTGTTTTTGATGATTAGACACATGTTTATAATTCCAAGAAGACGAGATTCATAAGGCATAGGAAACACATAATATGGAAACCAGGATAAAATAGGATAGGACAACAAATAACATCAATGTAAGGCTACATAACGTAATGAAGTTGCTCAGTCGTTGCGGCACATGTGAAATATTAATCCTGTATGCTTATCTTTTGTTTAAAAAAGATACTAATTTTACGTGCAATAAAAATTGTACATGCTCATTTCCATCCTAATCAAAAAAAAAAAAAGAAGAGAGAGAGAGTGTGTGTAAATATATAAGATATGTCGTGTGGTTAACAAGATAGTGTGAGAAAGCTAACAGGATTCACTTTTTCATTGATATATCAATTTCACTTGTGCCATACGACTGAACTGATCATTACATTACATTACCTAATATTGACAATATAACAACAACAAAATCAAAGAGATTCCATGGCTCCTTGAAATAGTGGTAACGTAGAGCAAAGATCTTCATGAGACACTCGCTGGTGAATATCACAATGAATATCATGTTTAGATAGTCCAGAACATCGCTGAAAGTCTGAGTTTGTTGATAATGGTCCAACGTCATTGTAAGCATGTTCAATCCGATGAACAACATAATTATCATATCGAACTTTTTGTCTGTCACTATTTCAAACACTATTGCTTGCGGCCTCCACTGGAAAATAAAGGAAAAAAAATTGATATTAAAATAAAATTGCAAAAGCAAAAAGGTAAGGAATAGAAAAAATATATAAATTGTTTATTATTTTAAATTTTTCAAATTTAAGATCAATTTCTAATTTAAATTTTTAAATCAAAGATTTGAGAAAACGAAATTAATAGAGCAATAATGACAATATGCACGTACCCTTGGACGTGGAATGGCTTTAAGTGGTTTCTTGCTACCCATCTTTTTCATAGCGTTATAATATTTCTTCTGATCTTCTGTCATGAACATCTCGAGGGAACCTCCTGCCTTTTTCTTTTGTTCGTTAAAGTTATCGATGATCACACCAATGAATAGATTAAGGGTAAAAAACGATCCAAATATAATGAAGAATACAAAATAGAAATACATGTAGATGTTCGTTTCACGAATTGGTTGTTTGTTGAGCTGCAAACAAAAAAAAAAAAAAGAAAATCCACAAAAATATGATGATTTTTCAATTGGCAAATCTTTAATTTTGACACACACTTACCTCCCTAGAGTCGATGGCATCGTTCATGATCTGAATCCATCCTTTGAACGTAGCCACTTGAAACAAGCATAAATAAGCTTTTCCTACGTGGTCAAAATTCATTGGAGAATTTTCCCAGGTGTAGTTCTCAGCCAAACAGGCGTTTCGATCAGGAATGATTTCATGGCTGAGTGTTGTTTTATTCGCATCTACACACTGTAAGAATAAAATGATATTGTCAATTTAATAGAAAAATATAGAAATTCTTCTGTTTTATTTTAAAGAATTAATATAATTTAGTTAAAAAATTTAAATTTCAATCAAAGTTATTAAAATTGCAGAGATTAAAAATAAAGATATGATGTATAATATAATATAAACACATACCTTAAAATATTTGCCGGCAAAAAGCTGTACACCCATAATGGCGAAGATCAACCAGAAGATAAGACACACCAGTAACACGTTGAAAATGGATGGAATGGCTTGAACCAAAGCGTTGACGACTACCTGTTAGACAAAGTATATTGTTAAAGTATTTAAAAAATGTTTTAATTATTTTTTTTTTATTCTGCCTGTCTATGTGCTTAAGTATGCGTTTCTATGCATTTCTAGGCGTTTTCTATAATCTACGCCTACGTGTATTACTGGTTCATCATATGTGCAATTTGAATTTTGGAATCTTCTTTTGCGATAAAATAAAAAAACGGTGAAACATCACGTGAAAGGAATTAGGAATGTTGTATCATTATTGTGAAATTAAGTCAATTAAGATCAAGTTGATGATAATCTAAAAAAAATAAAAATTAAATATTTATATATTTTAAGTTCATTGATAATTTTTCTAAATCTAAACGAAATATTTCATTTTTCTTAATTTCTCTTTTCTAAATCATTATTTTTACTGAAAAAAATTTCAAACATTTGAAACAAATACCAGAATTTTGTTTTTAATTTCTTTACTAGTTGAAAGAATAAAAAATAATAAAGTAAAAAGAATTATATTTGAATGTAAAGAATACAATTTTTCTTCAAAGTATGAAATAATGAAGAAATATGAAGAATTAATAGCAATTAAATCTCTGCAAATTTTAATTCTAATGATTATTATTACCTTGATTATTACAAGAATTATAGTCCATAAAATATTTAATTATAAAAAAAAGCATACAACATTTCTACTTAATTTCATTCGATTTTTCACACAAGATCAAATCAGGAAACAGAGACGATGAAGTATCCGTTTGGCTCATTTATTTTTAAATAATTTATGCGAAATGATTCAATTTTTCATTTTTTATGGAACAATAAACCGAGGTAAATCTTGCATACTTACTCCACCAATTACCACGTTCAATTTCGTACAATTACACCGCACGAACATACAGATATGTATCAATAAAACATCGAAATCACAAGTTTCCAAACAAACGGACAAAATAGAAAGTAAAAATGAAAATAAAAAGAAAAATGGCGAACACAAGGAAGATTTTTTGCGTTCTCGAAATAAGATATATATGTATATATCAATTAAACACAAGAAAGTCTTCAAATAAATAGAAACGATTCAATCGAACAAAAAAGAAAAAAGAAAATGGCAAACACAAGGAGTGCCTCTGCGTTCTCGAAACTCACGATTCACTTACATTTAATAGAAACGAACAGAATAAGAAAATTAAGAAGTAACAAAGTATCGATTTGCCTGATCATTGATCGATGTGACGTATGGTGCGTACTCATAATATGTGTTGTCTCAAGATCAAAATTTTACAAGTGTGCCCAGAATTTCATAATCAGAATACACGAGAAATAAAGCAGCAGCAGGTGGCGTAAGAAGCATAAGCATAGTAAAAAGATTCTTTTCCTTGTCTGATGCAATCATGTCGTGCGTAATTTTCAGCATTTGTCAGCGGCAAGCAACGATTCCATGCAGAAATAAAGAAAAAAAATTAACAGAAGATCAAAATAATATACATAATATATATGATATATAATATTCTTGTACAATTGTATCTTGTACAACTTGTATCAGTTATATATATTATATATAATATATATTTATATACGTAGAGATAGAGATGTATGCTGAAAAATAGTAGCTATAAACTACTGTATAAAAAGGTAGGATAAGATAGTGTCAGGGCGTGGGCATGACAGTAACTCTACGCCCAGTATCTCAGCGACCTTGTATTACAGTTATGTAGAATCATATGTCTGTAATGAGATATGTAAATTATTAAATTTTCATCCTAAACTAAAGTATATATATGTATATATGTTGGTATAATACGTGTGTTGTTGCTTGCGTTTTAATATGTTGAGATATAATATATTTAGCAGTATTTTAGTAAAGTTGAGGCACGTTTCAGGCTCGTTGATCGAGATAATAATCTAGATACACCGAGGATCGTAAATTATGATTTTTTTTTAATTGTAATTATTAATTAAATATGATTTGAATTAAAAATTAATGTTGGACTTGACAATTACATACATGTAGTTTTAAAAGTTGTTTGATGTATCAAAAGCGAAGTCTTTGACAGGCTTTGGATTTTTTTAATTCGTTACATATAATAATTTTATAATAATTTTTAAATATATATTTGAAAAAAAAATTATAGATTTAAAATGAATTAATTTTTAATTTTTTTTAAATTGTATCTTTATCTTAAATTATATTATATATAATAGAATGAAATAGAATAAAATGTTAAATGTTTTAGAGATTATTAAATAGAAAATTGTGAATAAGATCTTGTTTCGAATTTGCAATAAACTTTCGTTGATTTTAAATTCACGAACAATAGCGTATATGTGTCCTCTAAGGTGCATATCTCTTAGAGAATTGTTCAATAAAGAACGAGTCTACGTGCCGTACATTCGCAATTTTAAGCTCAAGTGCATTCGCGATCGCCCTACTTATGATCTCGTGCAAAAGGAATCGAGTCTTCGACATGGCGAGACCGAAGAGTTGTTCCATTATTTAATGCATTAATGTTTTGATTATTTAATATATAATTATATTTTAATTAATAATAGAATAAAGAAAAAAAATTCTTTTTTTTAATATAAAACTCCAATCGGCCTCATTGTCGAGTCTCGCGATGAAAAAAGAAAAAAAAACGGTGCCGCCGTTATTAAATTTATTTTATTTATTTATTTTTTTATAAAGATTTTGACAATATCGAGATTGATATTATTATTCGAATAATTAATCATTTTAATTGTTCGTAATCGAAAGATAGTTCGACGGCACCGAAAAAATCTAAATTGAAAATCTGAAAATTATCAATTATATGTAACGAATCGAAAATTATCAATAGAGTTAGGCATTATTTAATAATGATTTTATTTATTCCATTTATCAATTATCTAATATTTATGTTTTTCTAAAAAATAAATATAGAAAGTTGAAATACTATAAATAGAAGGTTTATTATACACTACTATTATATAACCTATCAATTATATATAATCCTAATTTCATAGATACATTATCAAAATGTAATTCAATTTTAAAAAAGAATAATTTTAAAAAATGTATGATGAAAAGTTTCGAATATTAATTCTAAATTTTAAATAATAATTAATAAATATCCACTTTTTTTTAAACAAATTTCCAATCAAATAGTTCTAGATCGATTATTTATCGTTCTATCATCTACCACTATGATTCACTAATACTACTATGTCTAGAACTACTTGTTTAAAAATTTTCGAAAACTTTTCCAAAAACATATGCCCAACTCAATGCCTCGATTCGCCCAATATAAAGAATAATGATCGATTCTTTTGGGAACATAATAAAAAAGTAATCGGCAAGGTCTGCTGAGACTGTGGGCTACATACCCGCATTCCCTGCATTCTAGACATCGCCCTGAGTGGCCTTAGGGCCCTTAGGGTCCTCATTGTTTTGAAGGCTTGGATCCCGCCAGCGCCACAGAGCGACGCTACGAAGTTAATGAGTGACACCTGCGAGCGAGAAACGAGAGCGGATCACAGCAACAGGTAGACAGACAGGCTACTCGCGATACGAATTCATCATCATCATCATCATCATAATCATCATCATAATCATAATCATCATAATCATATAATCATTTCCGAACTATCAAATACTAGAATTCTAAGAGAAAGAGAAAAAGAGATAGAAAGAAACAGAGATAGATAGAGAAATATCAGGTTATCCCAACAGTCTTCCTTCTATTTTTGTGGAATTTTTACGATTTCTTTTTTAAAATAGAAATAGATCATACTTATACATCTTATATTGTGATATTTTATTAGTTATAAAATTTTATGTATCATAAAATTTATATCGTATACTTAGATTAGTCAGAGAGTTCCATATTCTTGAAATTTTTACTATTCTATTCTTCTAAAGTTTTGATTTATTTATAAAAAATTTTTCTTATAAAGAATCATTAAATTTTATTCTATTTGACGATGAAAAAAACTTTTGGGACAATTTGATAAAAAGATAGAAAAGAGATTAGAAGGTAGAAGAAAAATAGAGGTTATGGTTGACGGTCGACGCGTCAATTCATTTCATTTCATTTTTTTTTCTCGATTGCCCATGGATGGATCGAGGAGACCATTGAAGCGGATTTAAAATAATGCAGGAGTCCGTCCCATCTGTAGAGATCGTTCCATTTAAATAGTGTATGATACACATTATTAGATACAACAAATATCCAGAGCAGGGGGACGAAGACACTGATAGAAACCAGATATGGCACAAGTAGCAGTTCACAGAGAATGGGTATAGTGTCACACTTATTTGCGCACAATTATTTTTTAAAGTAATATCAAAATTATTTAAAAAGTTAATTCATTGAGTTTAATTTACATATGAATTTTTCTAGATTTCATTGTACGCAATCAAGTGAATACGATCGACAATGCAGAGAGCAATGAATGAATTGATGAGAGTTATTATTAGTTACGAGCATAATAATCAGCTCCATCCTGAAACAGATGAAAAGGTTCGTCATATGTATTTGCAATAACGACATTAAGTATCAATTTTCTTTTGTTCAATAATTTATTAATTAGAATTGTTGAGAATTTTAACTTATGAAATTTCTTCTTTTAATTTTTTAAAATTAATAAATTATTTCCTATATATTATTTTATATTTTAAAATATTATATTTCTTGCCAATTCTTCACAAAGATATATTGAAGAAAATGATACCATAATGCGTTGCATTGTTAAAAAATCAAAAACCTGATGATCAAAATTCCAAATTACACGCGCATAATATAGTATTGTAGTATACACGCGTACATTAACACATAAGGAAGATTGTACAGTACACACAAAGCAATATAATATGTATATATATAATGTATATATATATATAGTTCATATGTATATAGATACACTGTATTTTGCACAACGATCACTGTGCTAAAAAAGACTGTTAGGAAAGGCGTACATCGGCAATAGCTAGTACGACAAAAACTTCAATATCAGTGCAGACATTAAGTAGAGACACCAGTGTAACTCTGTACACTGGAAAGCACACCATAGAGTACAAGGCTACAACCATTGTAGCGATCATATCCTCTCTTTATTTTTCCCTCGGTTTTTACTTATCGTTCCCTTCTCTTTTTTTTATTTATTTTTTTTTTCTCATATCAACTTGTCGAAAAACCAAAGTCCTGATTCAAACATAACGGATTGAAGATCAGAAGAATAAATTTTAAAAATATCACCATGATTTAATATGAAATATATTTCCTTGATATTATAAAAATGATTTTTTTTTTTTAAATTAGAAAATTCTAAAGAAAAAAATTATAATATTGAATAATATTTTAATTTTAATAAGTTTGTTATGATCGTTTAATCCGTCAAATTTGCAAAGATTGGACAAAGATGGTCACATCACCGGATCAGGCCGATCTTTATCGGTTTTCTTTGTTGCTTCTCGTTGACCGATGACTTACTCTCATGCCCTCCCATCGTGACACAGCTCGTAAAGGCCTCAAGGCCCTCAGTGTTCTCATGGAACGGAAGGCCGGGATGTCTGCGGCGCCTGCCCAGATTGCGCCCAAGTTGATCAGTGAAAGCTATCATCATCATCAAATATCGATCAGATGGAACGTGATACATAACACATGATTATTAAACGTAGACGATTGTAATACACAGTGATCCACCACGAGGGAGTGATTCCACGTTGCGCTCTTCCGTTATTCGAATAGATATTTTTTGGGTGGTTGAGAGAAGAAGAAGAAGAAAGTGGAGGAAACACATCGTCACTCAAAGAAACTTGAAAGTAAGATTTTTTTTTGCAACAAGTTTACAAAATTTTTAATTTCTTAAAATGGAATTAAAATATTTTAGATTTTTTTTTCTGGATTGAGATTCGATCATTTTGAAATCTTATACAAAGTTGAAAAAATGATTTAGGATGTGATAGACTTCGTATAAGATACTGCTGAATTTTATTGTAAGCTTGTTTCTAGGAGTAAACGAAGTTTAACTGCAGTATGATCTAAATTATTAAATAAATTAGAGACAATTTATAAAAAATATGAATTATACATATTTTTTTATTATTAAAAATAAATTAAAAATGTTTTTTATTTTTTAAAAATAATTTAAGATTCTTCATGTGAGTAATCGTTTATTTTATTTTTTGATCAATGCCTTCTAGTACTTTTTTTTTTTAAATTTTTTTCAAAAAAGGATTACACACATTTAGATCATAAAATTATGTGAAATATAAAATATATTGAAGAAATATAACTTACCATGACAATGATAAAATCAAGCCAGCACCAAGCGTTCGTGAAATATTTTTTGAAGCCAAGAGCCAACCATTTGATTAACATTTCGATGAAAAAAATCACAGTAAATATTCGGTCCATGTAGTACAAGATATCTTGCAGAATGGGTCGTTGTTGAAGATGCACATCTTCCAAGGCCTGAACATCATACGATTACATTTTTAAAATCATTCATATAACAATAAAACTTATAAAGTAAACAAAAAAAATAATAATGAGAATAATAAAGATTGATGAAAAATATTCGATATACTTACGAGAGCCATACTACTCAAAAGAATCATCAAAATGACGGCAGTCTCAAAATACTTGTTCTCAATTAGTTGGAAGGTCTTCAGTCTCAAATTCGCCCAACCTTGCCAAAACGGTGCGTCGTCATCGCCAGCCAAGAATGGGAACTTCTTGTAACAATTTTCTGGGCAACAATCAGCTGGATAATCGGATTCGATGGGATCTTCTTCTGCTTGGATAATCGCATCGCCTATGACACCTTCTCCTTCCTCTCCTTCTTCGCCAAGATCTTAAAAATACAATTAATTTTTGTTTCTAATAATTTGTGCCTTTTCTTTTTTATAATTTTATTTGCAAATTTAAAATTAAATTTTAATTTCACTACAACAATTATTTACCTTCTTCTTGTTCTAAATCTTCTTTGCTCGCATCCTTCTTTTCTTCTCCATCCAATGAATCCATGCTCCCCTTATGACTTTCGTCCTTGAACGCCCTATTTTTATGGCTGCCATATGATTTATTACTGCACAAATACCAAATAAAAAATAAAATAAAACAGAAAGGAAACTTATATAATTTTCCATTAAAAAAAAAAAAATAATAATAATCTTCGATAATAATTCAAAAAAACTCCATAAAACTCAAAAAGATAATCACCTGATGGTATCATCCTCATTTTGATTAATATAATCATTATCCAGCCTGTAGTCACGATGATTTATCGAATTTGCTATAACTTTGCTGTTGTTCATGCACAATTTACCCTTCTTCAATTTATTCTTTAGGTCTCCTTCGAAAAAAAAAAGAAAGAAACATTCTCATTTGATTATCGATAAAACAATAGATGCTGTTACATTTTTTTTTTCTAAATTATATCTTCAAAAATAAAATAAAATTAAAATAACCGATGATACTCAGTTTGTTAAAAACTCAAAAATCTGGATGAAGATAAGAGATATGGAAATGGAACGTTTCTCGATCTTACCATGAATCGTAAATTCCATTCCATCCCCAATAGCAACTTCTAATTGGTTCAGCTCCTTGGCACTCTTCTTGTCTCTATACGCATCGAGTTCGCCATCTGCAAGATCTAGGTCCCCATCGCGATCAATTCCATCTGCACAGTCATACAAAATCTCTAACCCGCCCTTATCAGAATAATTTTGTCAAAAGTATATCTGTATGGAACAGAATAACTGTTGTGGTATTCATCGAGTAACCGGAAACTCTTTAAAAAATTAATCTTTCATTTTTAAACACGACATATTTAACAAAAAAATAAATAAATGTTGTATTGTTGAATTTAATTTTTTTTCTATTCTTCTCTTGTTCTTTTTTTTTTTTATTATTATTTAATTGTAATTTTTTTGTATTGTCGTTCATGCAGTATATTCGTGTAATCGTTATGATATTGTTCTATTAAAAAACTATGATTAAACGACGGTGACAAGTGTGACTAGTTTTATACGCGATACATGATGGATTACATTGTATGTTTAACTTAATACTTAATAATGTTAGGTCAGAATCGAAGAAGGTGTAATTTTTCTCTTCCTTTGTTTGCAAAATATTAATAATAAGCAGAAGTTGTAAAAAAGAAGAAAATATGAAACTTTTGCTTGAAAAAATAATGCAAAATTTACGAGCAATTAAATTGCGTACATTATAATATAATTTTCGTTGTACACGAGTATTATATACAGGATGTTATTTTACAGACATCCAGTATATACACGAAATATTACATTACAATTGAAATTCACTTCGAAATTTAAAAAATTCTTTACATACATATCACGACGATTAATCAAGATTTTTTTTTTTTTATTTTTAAAATTTTCAAAAATCTGATCAATCCAGATGTATCGCGCGATACTCCAAAATCTACTATTCGATCATATTCGATAATATCGAAGCGTTCTTTATTTTACCGGAAGACGAAACGTTTATTTCCTCCAACGTGAAAATAATAGGCAAAGCAACGTATAACTGCCAGGCTAATCAGCGAAGCAAAAATTAATCTATCCCTATCTTTCTTTCCCCTCTTTACTCTCTTTCTATTAATCTTTGATCTCATTGAAAAAACAGTAAAATAGCGAACCTATTAAAATGTCTGCATAAAAAAGATCAAAAAAAAAAAAAAAGAAAGAAAGAAAGAAAGAAAAAGAAAAAAGTGACACCAGTCAACAGTTTTCTGATTTTACATGAATAAATAAAAAAAAAAGAAAAAAGAAACAGGAATTCATAATAAAAAGCATCAAATCTAAATAAGATCAATTGAGTATTAAAAAAGAAAAGGATTGATCTTGCTAACTATGGTGTATCGCGCTGTTTCTCCTTGTAAATTTTCAATCTATCAGTGAGATTTATTAAATTTCCTTTCGTCGACTGGCAGCGAAATAAGTGAACGTAAAAAGAAAGAAAAAAAATTGTTTTTTCTTTTTTTCTTTGAAAAAAGTGAAAAGCAGAAACTGAAAAACAGTGCCACGAACTACACAGCGCACACAGCAAGCGATCTGATTGGATATAAACCTTCTTTCCAACTGTTGGACGGTCCCTCACCTGGCGCCTGATCGGATATCTGATTGGTGAGTTTGGCTCGCATCATTTTAGCAAGATAAAGGACATTTCGCTTGATCCACTTAACGAATCGTGCTATTCGATCGATCGCTTCCGCGATCTTGTTCGTATCGTTGTCTGCGGTCGGCGCCGATAGATTCGACGAGCCGAAGTTGCTCAGCAACAAAGCCAAGAAGAGATTCAGCACCTGTTCGTTGCACATCAAATTTCTTTTTTTTTTCATTTGGTTCATTTGCTCTCCTTTTAATTAAAATAAAAATAAAGATTAATAAGATTTATCAGATAATTTATCAGAAGTTTAGAAAAATTATAGTTTTGGGGGGGGGGAAAAAAAAAAAAGAAGGAATTTAATCTCTTTTAGAAATAAATTATGAACTTAGGAGTTAATTCTTTAAATGGAAAAAAATACATACCTGAGAACTAAAAAATGATCAAACTCAAAATCATAAATGATGATTATATATTATACTTGAAAATAAACTTTAACATTGAATCTTTATTCGATACGATGAATATATAATGAAAACAGAAAATTAGTTAATAGGCAAACTTTACGTAAGCTGCAATTTAGTACCAATTAGAGAGTCGTCAAGTCATACTTACAACCAGATTACCGATGACGACAGTGGCCAGAAAGAATGGTATGCAAGAAACGTCGCCCACAAGCATACAATCCCACATAGACTCGATCCATTCTCCACAGAGTACGCGAAAGACGATCATGAACGAATGCATAAAGTCGGTGAAATTCCATCTTGGTAGATCACCATCCGGAAATCGATCTACGTTGTCAGTGTAGTTCTTGCCGAACAATTGCATACCCATCACGGCGAAAATGAAGATAATGATGCACAACACGAACGTCAGATTACCCAGGGCGCCTACTGTTCTACCCATGATGGAAATTAACAGATTCAACGTAGGCCACGACTTTGCCAATTTGAACACTCTTAACTGGAAAGATTGTTTTAAAATAATTTTTTAATTGAAAGTAAAAATAAAAATATATATATATATATATATGAAAGGATAATCTTACCAATCTGAACGATCGTAACACGGAAAGACCTTGTACACCTTCTAATCCTAACTCCAGAAGCGAAAGAGCGACGATAATGAAGTCGAAAATATTCCATCCTTCTTGAAAGTAAAATTTCGGACTCATTGCTATCAGCTTCAACGTTGCCTCGATACCGAATGTTGCCGTGAAGAACTAGAATTTAAATAAATATATTAGTATCTATTATTTGAGAAAATGATAGAGATAGATAGAGAGAGAGAGAGAGAGAAAGAGAGAGGAGAGAGGAGAGAGAAAAAATCGATTCTTAAATGCATGAAAGAAAAAGTTCTCAAAACCTTGCGCTAAAATATTTGTAAATTTACACTGTATAATTTGTATTATTGTTTGCAATTTTTCACAATTTATAAAGTTTACTTTATCTTCGTGTTTACAAATGTTTTGCATTAAAATATTTATAAACTGTTTACACTGCAAAGTTTGCAAACATTACTTTTCAACATACAATTTTTTCCAACTCGATAAAAATTTTTTGTAATATATTTGACAAACCTATTAAAACTTACATAATTTCCTGTCTTGAGCACCCTTTCCATATCCTTGTCCATATCATGATGATCAAGTGCCATGAATAGTGTGTTGACGACGATACAAAGGGTGATGAACAATTCTACGAATGGATCGAACACCAAAAGAGCCACGTATTTTTGAAACTCAAGCCACAACCAGCAACAGTCCCACACGCAGAAGATATCGATGCAACGTAGCACCGCGGTCAATAATTTGTCCTTAAATGTCGGCCCTTCTTCATCGTCGTCTGTCGGAAAGTAATAGGTCGAAGAAACTGTAACGCGTGTTAGTAATTTTGTCTGGCACCACTCTTTTTGGGGAAAGAGGTTTTCTCGTTCTTTATCAAGCTTGCACAATTTTCCTTTATACATTCCATTGTCTTTTTTTTTTTTCTCTCTTTTTTTTAACTCATCAGACCACAGATTATTAAAAAACAAGAAGACAAGCAGAGGTATGTACCATAGCAAAACGAAACTAAAAATAGAGAGAGAGAGAGAGAGAGAGAGAGAGAGAGAGAGAGAGAGAGAGAGAGAGAGAGAGAGAGANACAATCTTGAAGGAATTGTACAGAGCTACGTGAAAGCGAAAGAAATGAAAAAAAAAAAAAAGAAATCATAAATGGTGCATTCAATGCATTTGCACGTGAATGTGCAACGCGACTAACAAGAACACGCGCAGCCTAAAAGCTGTGCAGGGACATTAAAAAAAAAAATCGAAGCTGCAAAAGGAGGAATAAGAGTGCGACAAGTGGGTAGCTTGCAGAAAAAAAAAGAGGGTAAAGAACAAATTTATAGTTCGGCTATGAGGAATAAATAAAAATCGTGGACATTCAGAATGCAATTAATCCTCAACTGGTGGAACATGGTACTGGTTAAAATGGGGCAAATTGAATTTTCAAAAGGGAGAAATGAAAGAAACATGCTGTAAAGAATTTTTTTAAAGAAAATTTATACTCATTTAGAAATTAAATCTTCTAATTTTAAGATTATTTAGTTTAACTTATTGATCTCTCTTTTTTATGATAATTTTAATAAAACCTTCATTCGACCACTTGTGGATAAAAAATGGAAAATTAGATTATTGGGAATAAAATAATGAACCGTGACAAATAAAATATCAACAAAATCAACTATCAAATAAAATGATCACAAATAATAAGAGTGAAAGATATTAATAATAAATTAAAAGGATAAATGTGACAAAATAATAATCGATCTAATTCTTCGAATCGTTGCTATTACTAGTTATTGCAGCAACCTAATAGTAAGTCAAAGTGCTTGAGACAATGTTGCTTGGTGTTCTCGCTATAACATCAGTATTAGAAGCTCTAATCGCACTTTCTAGAGCATTGAATGAAAATTGGTGAATGACAATAATAAATCACCGGTCGGAAAAAGCTTCACGATTCTACTTTGTTATTGTGCAAACGCAGGCAAACGCGGAGGTGCCCTCGAAGCGGAGTGCCATCGCGAATAAAGACTATGAAAATGAAAATTTTCGCTGCAGTGTACGTCGGTGATCAAACGAGGAGAAGGCGAAATCCAGGCACGAAGCGACCAAGATCGTGCAGCTGCAGCGAGGATGTTAATCTGTGTCGTATATATCAGGAAACAAACTCTGTTTCCCCAAAAGACACCGTTACAAAATTGTTTTACTTTAATTCATTTCGTTTCATTATCCATCCAAGAGTTCGAGGGCTTATGCACTGCAATTATTCGATGAATTTACTTATTATATTTTGATTTGAAAATTATGTCTACAATTATATAATTATCCTTATTTTGCTTTACACTATAACTTTCATATTTCTCGTTTCTTTCTTTCTTTTTATACAATAATAATAAAAATGAAACTTATTGGGACCAACAGGAATCGTACCATGCACTGTAGTACAATATCGGTATTAACCAATAACGGAATAAAATGGAAATAATTTTCGATCGAGTTTAAACGAGACTTTGAAATTAAACAATAGAAAAAAAAAAGAGACAGAGAGATAGAGAGAGAAAGAGAGATAGACTGTATATACGTATATATAGGAATCGGTCTACTATGTACAAGGCGCTCAGACAAAAATCTTCAGCACTGAATATCAATGGAGAAAACTGTACAAGAGTTTCAACAACGGTGTACATCAAAATGATAGGATGCTCATCACACAAGAGATACACATCTGTGATAAAGGGTGATAGAAAACTGTAAGAAAAAAAGTAACATGAGCGAAAGAGTTGAACGTTCGACATTACCTCCTTGCTCCGGAGTTCTGCTCTGTCGTCCCGCTGCCTGTTCTATGATATCGTTCAACACCATCACGTCTGCAAAGAGAAACAAGAAAACAACAGTTTTAAGAAAAATATCAAAAATATCAATAAAAAACGATCCCTCCACCAACAACAAGTAATATAAAATTTACCTTTCATATCAACCACGGCATGTTGTTGAGAAGGCTCTATAAACGGATTGTCTTGTTGCTTTGCCTTGCCCATGGGATCTTCCAGATCACCCTCCTTAAGAAGGGGGAAGAAGAAAAAAAAAAAACATTAAATCCCTTAACATTTATACATTTAAATGCGAGATCACCTCACGAGATCCAATTTTTTTTCTTTTTTTCTTTTTACTCACGTAATGGTACTTCTGATTATTATCCGTGATATGTCCATTGACAGACGGCGGCCTGACAGATCTGATCTTCAACTGGCTCTCCTTGGTCATCGGTTTCCCCGCGTTCGCTATGCCGCCGATCAGATCGCCGTGAGACGTGTACGACAAGCGTGAAGCGTGCGACGTGTACGAAGAATGCCTGGACCCAAGATTCGCGTAGTAGACGGGCACAACGATCGTGCCGTTCTCCTCGGACATAGGCGTGACCGCGTTCGAGTCATCCGCGTACGGGAGGTGTTCCTGGGCGTCGAGGAACGTGGACAGCACCAACGGCTTCCGGTCACCGCCGGGCGGCCCGACGAAACGGCCCCTGCCATTTCTGATCGTGAACTGATGGCTACCGCGGCTGCTCCGGCGAAGATTGAACGGTGAGCCAGGCAGACTAAGGCTCGCCTGAAATTACAACAAAGCGGACCACCGCTTTTCTCTCTCACCGTTCTCTCTCGAGCCTCTCTCGAAAAGCGAGTGGACGGTTTAAAGGGGGCGGTTTAAAGGGGAATGGGGCGAGGTTCTTCCACCTTTTCTCTTTTTTTTTTTTTCTTCCTTTTTTTTTTTCATTCCAATACGTTTAATCAACACCCTCGAGACACACCCTATATATGTGTATATATGTATATATATATATATATATATTTGCCTATATTCGACTATAATGAATCTTCCTTCTTCGAGCTAGCTTCGCACCGCTTCGCGTGTCGTGTCATTTCTTCAATTACTTCATCGATGGAACCTGTATATAGTCAATAGAGAGGGAGGTCCTGATGACAGGCTTGGATTTCGATAACTCGTGTCTTTCTTTCTTTTTTCTTTTTTTTTTTTTTTGTGCATAATTCTGCGGTTTTCTTGAGAGTTTGGAGGCTACGTGAAGCTCAAAATTTGTACGTTTACTTATATGGGATTTTTTGAACTTATATGAACTGATGAGAGATCTTTTCTGAGTTGCGAGATGGTTCTAAAGATTGAGATAATTCGATATACGGTATTTTTAGCAACAAGGATGTTGGAGATTCTGTGGATTTTGGGGCGTTTCGTTTCGTGGAAGAATATATCTTGCATCTCGAGTGAAATCAATTCTTAAAGCAATCTTTGGAGCAAAGTATATCAAGATATTGATGTTGTTTTTTCATCGGGAAGTGGCACATACTTGCGAAGTGATTTCACGAAATGAAATGCGAAATGATAAAAATATATTCCCTTGTATCGCGCTCTTGGTCCATCGAATCTTCAAGCATCTTTGAATGATTGTGCGTAATGGTCCTCTAATGGCAACGAGATTGGCGTTTCGACGAGAAACGTTTGGAACGCGTGAAACCTTGGACAATCGATGGTGTTTTGATCGACATGAAATTTTGGATCATGGATCCTGTACATCTATTGTAGTACGTACGGTCGGCGGTGACAGACACGTTGTGACACACATACCTTCCGCAGGCTTTCCTGGTAGGCATAAGTAAACTGGCCATTAGCGGCGCGAGAGACCTTAAGAAAAAAACAAGAAAAGATATCTCCTACCAAACGGCTCGTAACGTTGTCTAATATGTACACCAAGGAGGCACTCGATACGGATAATATGTTTATATAAATACTTGCAAAAGCGTTACATACACAAAAGAAGTGACAGAGAGATAGAGATAGAGATAGAGAGATAGAGCATGATGTTAACACACGCAGAGATATAATGATACAACTGTCTTCGCAAATTAGGGTAAAACGATGTTGATCAAATGTCTTTAAAACGGAAGTAAGGGAGACACGAAGATCCGCGATATCTTTTATCACTTGTACGTCGTGTAATAAACATGATTTGATAGATCTTTCTTTGATCTTTCTTTACATCCTTTAAGTATGAATTATTAGAGATTTCTGAGTATGGTATGTATCTTTAAAACGTGAATTTGTTATGACACAGAATCACTTTTTAAAGATATAATCTTACATTTTGGAAATCTCTAATTAATTTTTATTATCATTAAACGTATAACAGAAAATGAAAATTATAACATAAGTAGAAACTTATCAATCTTCTTAGAATAATTCCCGCAGTGGCATTTTTATATAACTTTGACTGTGTTGAAAAAATAACTTTCGGTTTCTTTACTTGACTCAAGATCAATGTTCCTATTTATGAACCGAAAATTCGTATCTCCATTCTCTACTACACACATGCGTTACCATGCAAAACGGCACAGAATGAAATGTTCTTTTCTTTTTTATTTCGACAATTTCGATATCGATCCTATTTAAAACACTGTGTTTAGACGCGTCCGCGAGTAAGTCCAGATCGATGATGGAAAACCAAAAGGAATGCACGCTGTCAAAAATCATTATACGCCATTCGAAACCAAGAAAGAATCGATGAAGAAAATTCAACGCAACGAAAGCAAGGAGTTCAATAAGCGTCCTAACGAAGTACCAAATTGATCATTATTTAACAATCGATTACAATACGACAAGCATGCTACAGAGCGATAGACTTTTATGAAGGGGCTCGACTCGTCGCTTTCAACGCTAACTTGAGCCTAAGTGGAACGTTTCCTGATCAGAATTCATCAACCTATCTATCCTTTTCAAGACATTTCGTCTTCACTTCCCTAAACTGCCATCAACACACCGTCAACAAATCCATCATCCTGTTCAGTTTATTCGTTATAGGTTGACGAACGCTCAACAAAAATCTGAATCTACGCCATCCCTGTCCTTGAAACGGCTCGCAAAACACCATAGTGCATAAATGGATAGAACAGAGTTGTCCACATTAATATTCCTCCATGTTTCATTTCTTAATAAATTTTTTAAAAATGTTTCCTTAAGCTATAATAATTATCATTAACTTTCTTAGAATATTTATATTTCCTTTTGTGATGATAAATTTTCCTCTTAAATATTGATCGTTACTCTATAAGTACTCTAATAGCTAGTATACTAAACAATTTTCAAATAAAATTGGCAGAGGATTATGTAATGTCCTATGGACAGCTCTGTGCACCATAGAATATAGTCAAAATACGATAGTGGAAGGACACGAAAAAATAAAAAAAAAGTATTATTTCAATGTTTCATCGACGAGTCGAGTCGAGATCGAACAGCCTCGCGTGAATCGCTCTCGTAGAAGCGAGGTCAAGGGGGACAAGTTCGATTGTAACAGGAGGCAAAAAGAGAGTACATTACGTCAAAGGAGGATAAATCGATGGTACAAAAGAGAGAGACACATCGGCCAGTCAGACACTTACGGCGCTGACTTTTCGCACTTTAGTGGTGGTCGTGTGATTGTTGATCTGTTTCACTCTGTGCTCGCTGACCGATTCGATCGAACGTATGCTCATCCTCTCCTTGTTGTTATCGTCGTTCCCTTTCTCTTGACCAACGAACAATTCGTAGCTGTGACACGAGAAGTCTGATGGAGATTTGACTATCTGGTCAGCGGCGGTCACCACCGCATGTGCTGCCGCCTCTCGGGCTGCCGCTTGTGCCGCTAATTTGGTCTCCTTTGCCAGGGCCGCTTCCTCAGCTTCCTGTCGTATATTCCATTAAAATATATTAAATCTCTATTAATGTTAGTTTGTTTTCGTTAGTTTTTTGTAATACTTTAATGTAAGTATTTGCACACAGTTGTATTGTAACATAATAATTGTAGGATTTGGATTGAAACTCGTTAATCAAAGATAGGTTAGATTCTGAGAATTTTTACTTTGTCTTTTTTCTCGACTTTGTTGAACTTTGCGGCAAAAAAATTTCTAAGATAGAGAAAAGTATTTGCATTTTGTTTTATGATGTTTGTATCTTGAGTTTCTAAAAATACGTCTCCTCCGGAAAAAGAATTGATGAGATAATTTAACAGTTGACTATTGTAATTAGATCCAAGTATATTATATTTGTTATCATTTAATATCTTCAAATGATTGTAAAAATGATCTGTTTTATTGGAACATGAATGGTATGTGCAAATACTTTTTTTTCTAGGCAAATTTTAATTTTACAAATACGTACTCTTATAGCTTCCTCCTCGGCTGCTTCCTCTTCCTCAGCTTTCTTCTGCAATTCATCGTAAGACATCGCGACAATAGCAAGAATCAAGTTGACGAGATAAAAGGAGCCAAGAAAAATGATCACGATGAAGAACAACATATGCCATGGACCGGCCGATCTAAGCACTAACTGGTACAGATTTTCCCAATAATCTTGCGTCATCAGACGAAAGGCGGATAATAAAGCCCAGCCGAAGGTGTCGAAACTCGTGTAACCGTAATTCGGATTTTCACCGTATCCTTGTAAACACGTGTAACCAGGAAGGCACTGCCTGTATTCAACAAATTGTATCCATTAAATCCAATGATTTATGATGAATAGTAACAAGAATTTGTATATATATATATACTATATATAAGAAAAAAAAACGAGATAAATTACCCTGCTCCAGATGAATTTCCACACAAAGGCATGTTTTTCGCCTCGTCCACGTACCAATTAGCTAAATAAAATAATCAATTTCAATTTTAATTAGTTTTGAAATTTTTTTATTTGATGGGAAAAAAATGAAAGCTCTTCAATTCAAAATTTTAAGATTTCGATTGTTTAAATTAAATAACGGATAATTTATTTAATGTAAATAATTTCATTTCATTATATATTATTCTTTATTTATAGAAGAACCTTCATTCGAAGGGAAATAAAGTAGGGAATAAAGTTTGAAATATTTTTTCAAGGTTCCAAGGAAAAAGGCTTCGTTTCTGAGCTGAAACTTTTCAGCAACGAAAACACGTCAAGGAATAATAAACTACGTACTTTCATTACTAACGAATCGCTCCCAGTTTTCATCGGTCAGATTGCCCCAGGAGCCGTCCTCGGGAAAGTTCTTTATACACTTTTGCGTGAGCACCCCCATGTAAATCTGGAGGCCCATCAGCGCAAAGACGGAAAGAGAGAACATCGTCAAGATTATCACATCGCGCAGGTTCTTCACGGATTCTATCACAGCGCCGACAATGGTTTTCAGACCTGGCGAACGAAACAAAAAAGGGGACCAGATGGATTCGTCAGTAAAACGTCAATATGCAATATGTTCGACGAAGACGACGTTCAAAGTGGCGGGCATAATTCTTTTGCATATTTATTTTATCATTTGTCTTATTGTATATATATATATATATATGTATATATATATTTTTTTTTGTTTAACAAACAAGACAACGCTTCTCGTTTCAGCGTGTGGAAAAAGAGAGAAAGATAGATAGATGATAATGGATCGACCGAAGAAACGGATGGAAGGATCATCAAATTAATATATTGTCTTTTTTCTGTAAAAAAAAAAAAAGTGGAGGAGATCATCATCGATGGAATGAAAATGAGGAACAAGAAGGAGATAATAGATGCTGCTAGCAGAAGGACAGTTGCTTCTTCGAAAATTGAAAAAAAAAAAAGAAAAAAAAAATCATGATGTTCAAAATTTAGATGGAATGATCTCTGATCCGATAATCGTGTCGAAAGATGCAAGGCTGGCGAGCAAAAAAAATGACGCACGAAAAAAATGTACAGATGATTAATATAGGCGTTTCGTCAGACAAATAGACATAAGTGAGAGATTAAAGAGATATACAGAGAGGTAATTATTATAATAGAATATAGGCGTTGTGTAGGTGATGATATGCGATAGAATGTATGTGTGTAACAGCGAGCCGCGGCAAAAGTGTATATCTATTAAAAAAAAAAATGAATAGTCTCTAAAAGAAAAAAATCTGCGACTACACCCAATTGATCTATTTCACTAAGCATACCTGGTACAATAGCGACAGTCTTCAAGGCTCGGAGGACTCGAAATGTCCTGAGAGCGGCAAGGTTGCCTAGATCTATGCCCATCGTCACATAACTGCAATACACCCGAACATCACACACATTACAGTGATACAAACAAAAAAACAAAACGGTTTTAGAAAAAAATAGAGATAGATAGATAGATAGATAGATAGATAGAAAGAGAGACAGAGAGAGAGAGAGAGAGAGAGAGAGAGATAGAAAGAGAGAGAGAGAGAGAGAGAGAGAGAGATAGTGAAAAAGATAGAAGGATAGAGATAGATATATATATAGAGAGAAAGAGAGAGAAGGAAAGAATTAGAAAAGAGAATAAGTAAAAAAAGTATTAAATATAATACTCAAACGATTACTCGCTACCAGATTTTTCTATTGCCTACCAAAACTTCTGCTTTGAAAAACTGCTTGTATAATAATAATAATAATAATAATAATAATAAAAATAATAATAATTATAATAATTATAATAATAATAATAAAAATAATAATAATAATAATAATAATGATAATAATAATAATGATAATAATGATAATAATAAAAGGATATATATAAAATATATATATGTGTGTGTGTGCGTACGTATATATATATATTTTATATATATTTTACAGGTAGCTATTACTGCATGCAATCGATGTTGCTCGATATGCCACGGTATCACGGGAATCTAATTGTAAATCATATTTTTTTTCTTTCATTTTGTTACTTTTCTACTTTTCTTGTAATAAGGATAATAATAATAATAATACTAATAATAGTTAATAATGACAGGATCAATTTCTAATATAATTAATTAAAAAAAGGTGAATATGGAATATGATATATATATTGTGATATAGTTCTCGTGATGCCGAGTCGCAAACGGATACTCGTTACGCTGTATAAGATACACGTATTTGTCCATCTATCAACAATTACTTAATATGTTATACAGAATGTTCACAGGATATTATTTTTCAGCGATATTTTTATAAATGGTACATATTTGCGAGAAAAATAGAAGAAGACAAATTTCTCGTTTTATATGGATGGTAATGGTCTGAAGAAATTTTTTAAATTTATTACTGTGTATATAACGAATATTTTTATTAAATTGATTAATTGAAATATTTTTTTCTTTTTTTTACATAGTAATAATATTTATTTCACACTTCTCTTGTGTGAAAAAATATATCAACATTTAAAATTGAAATTAAATTGATATTGAATTTACCAATAAGTTATCGTTTAAAAAAATTTATTTAGAGATCACCGTCCTATAAACGTATAAAAAAACGATGAAATTTTGTTTTCTTTAACTTATTTCGCAAATCTATCATTTACAAAAAAGATTCTAAAAACAAATATCATAAACATTCTGTACATATACACATATGTATGTATTATACATAAAATGTATATATATATACACACATATATAATAATAATAATGTACTAAATCTACGACAATTAATAATATTAATAAGTGATTCGATCGAATCGACGTATAATATGTATAATACGCTATGCTAATCAACAATTACGATGATTATAAATAAATAAATAAATAAATAAATAAATAAATAAATAAATAAATAAATAAATAAATAAATACTTTCCGTCTGAGAGTAACTAGACATAATAATTATAATAATAATAATAACAGTAATAACAATAATAAAAATAATGATAATAATAATAATAATAATAATAATAATAATAATAATAATAGTAATAATAATAATAATAACAATATAATGATGATAATAATAATAATAAAAAATCTCTAATCCCTATCTAATTATAAGAATACTAATTCAAATATTAACTATCATATGTAGGTATTTTTTTATGTTATCGTGTAACTATACGTGTAAATATATGAATATCGTATATACATATATATATATATACACATATATGTATATATATATATATATACATGTATATAAATATATTCATGTATTATATTGTACGTGTGTTAAGTGTATAAGTGTGGTAAGAGAAAATTCGAAGAGTAGATATTCATCGCTACACAAAAAATTTGTTCTTTTTTTTTCTTCTTCTTTTTCTTCTTCTTCTTTATTTTTTTTTTATTTTTTTTTTTCTAAATAGCGTTACTCAAGGTTTCTAGCGAAATATATGTATTAATTATATATGTTTATATATTTATATATAGATAGATTTACGTTCCATAACCTGAACACATTTTATTCTTGTATATTAATTAGCGTTCTCGTGAGTAAACCCTTCTCTTCGCCAACTCTGCTCGTAATGGGGTCGACGTTCATTCATTCAAAATCGGTCCTGTCGACGCAGTACGGCTAAGATCATCATCATCATTCGTGATATACGAATCTACCCGTGGAACTAAGAAGAAAAACACAAATTGCCTCTCAGGCTGATCGACAATCGAAGCCTGTTCGAAATATTTATAATTATCTTTAATTCTTTTTTCTTTTGGATTATTTTTAATAATAATGAATTATTATTATTATTGCTGTTGTTGTTGTTATTCTTCTTTTTTTTCTTGTTCTTCTTCTTCTATTTCTTCTTCTTCTTCTTTTTCTTCTTCTTTTTATTATTATTATTGTTATTGTTATTGTTGTTATTATTATTATTATTATTATTATTTTTGACAATATATTAATATTTATAATTAAATTATGGATTAAAATTAACAAAAGACATCGTTAATAACTTTAGGTAGATTCGTGATTTTGCGGGAAAATGTGTGAATTTAAATACATTTTTTTCTTTCTTAAATTAAATACTTTATTATTTCCGCCACGAAATTTTCAACGGATCGATTTCAAAAGATTCAACAAAAAAGGAAGAGCTCACGAGATCCATCAGATCTTACCACCGTACGACATATCAATTTAATGATTTTTCTCCTCTTCAATTAGCGCCAATTACAATGCGGTTTAAAATTTATTTTTCTCTTCTTTTTATCATTTATTTTTATAAAGATTTTGATTCCAGTAATTCTAAGGTTTTTCTTCTCTTCTTTCCTTTTCTAATTAATTAATTAATTAGGAAGAAACAGATTTTTAATAATTTTCTTCTTTTATCTTTTTCACTTTAATCAAAAAGCTAAATAAAAAAATAGTTTATTTTACAATTTAAAAAAATATTTCTTTAATATCACTTGTTTAATCTAATTGAAAAAATATTAATTAACGATAAATAAAATTTTTATAAGGTTTCTAATGTTCTCTTTCGTCACACGCTGTACTCTATCGTTTTTATACCGTCGTTTTTTTCTTTTTCTTTCTTTTTCCTGCTCGTTTCTTTACATTTCTCTTGATCTCGTTTGCGTTTCTTTTCTTTTCTTTTTCCCTTTCGTTTTTCTTTTCTTTTTTTTTTTAGTTAAAAAATAAGTTTTTAACTACTCACGCTAAAGCTATAACTACGAAGTCGAGCCAATTCCATGCATCTCTAAGATAGGTAAAAGGCTGCAGAATGAAACCCCTCGCCATCACCTTAACGGCGGACTCAAATGTGTAGATGCCCGTAAATATCACTCTGAAAATAACAAACACACCACTCAGCTTTTAAATTCGATTTCTTTCTTTTTTTTTTTTTTTTTTTATTTTTTCTGGAGGGCGCGCGCGCACACATACACACACGTCTCTCTCTCTACTTAGCACATCACACTGACGAGTCGCATCAGCGACACACTCACGTGGCAAAAAAAAAAAAATATAAGTCGATTTCAAAAATATATTTTTCAAACAAATATGAAATTTAGAATTTGTTGTTTCCAATTTATTTATTTATTTATAAAACGTATCAATAATAATACACTTTCTTATTTGTAAAATAATTAAATTAAAAATTTAAGAAGTTGCCATATTAAAATTAGAAGATTAAATTTAAAGATGCTTCGTGCGTTTGAAAAATCAATTAATTTGATAAAAAAAAAAAATAATTATACGATGATTATAGAAAAGACGTAAGTCTTAGAATTTCCAAGGATATTTTAAATCTCTTCAATATCTCGTCGAAGTATTGATTAAGTCATGATAAGTCAATTCAACAAATGTCACCATGTTTCCATACGTATCTACTTGATCTTACCACCACTAGTAAGTACTTGCTAAACCGAATAGAACTTAATTCCCGTTGCAAAAGACAGATTATACCGTGTAGCAGTCTCCTCGATATAGCGAAGTCGTAAAAGTACGAAGAAGATTCAAAACTTCAGTCAAGGCTGCACGTGATACATATATCTTAGTAGTAAGTGAAGTTCATTTGCCTGGCTATTGTTTCTATTGTTGTTTCAATTTTATTTTTCAGCAAAATTTCCTTTTTATTTTTCTTTTTTTTTTTTTCCTTCTTTGAATTAAATGGCAAAAGAATTTTCACTATTCTTCCAATATAACAGGTAGTAGTTATATTAAAACAAATATTAAAAATGACAATAGTGATCACTTAAAAATTAACTTCGTCGTTCTCCACAAGTTGAGAACCATCGTTGATAATCGTTGCCAGTGAGCATTATCGCTTTTGCTAAAACTAGGCGATAATAACCAATCGCTATCGGTGTCTAATTAATTAATTACAGATCGCCAAGTAGACCAAGTCAGCTATAATCGAGCACGATCCAAGCGAACAATTTCTCTCTTCGACTCGACAAATTATATATACATCCGACAATTTATATATCCATTATATATTTCCATTTTTCCCCACTTTTGCCTCTTTCTATCACATCGCATCATTCGCATGGATCGTTCGCATTATCTACGCTACCTCTAGAGAGACTAGAACAAAACTTACCAACGGTTATACAATTTATCACACAGTCTCTACTCATATATTTAGAGCTATAACACGTAGAACATTGCTTGAAATATCTATACTTTGAACAACGTGTACTCGCCTTGAGCTTTCGATGATTCACTCCGATACAATAAAGAGAAAAAAGAAGATAAGTATAAATAAGTAATACCGTCAAGATAGAGTAGTTCGATAGAACGTGATTGCTACGTGCAAAAATTAAGTAGAAAAGAAATAGAATAAAATTTTTTTCTTCGAGAAAATCAAATTTGAAAATTTGTGCGAAAATGTTGTGTTCAATGTGTCGATAATTTCAAATTCGATTTTATTTATATAAAAGAGGATAAAAAAAAAATTTTATTCCATAGTTTCTTAGGTATTATTTTTGAACGTAGAATATGCTTCCATTTGATCGCTTTTCCAAAAATTTGAACAGGATATAAGATTGTAATATAAGATTCATCTCCGGCTTAGGCTCGTAAACACGCTAAGCTACATTGATTCACAGTCACTGCAGAGCAAGCGTAAATATATAATCGATTGGCAAAGTTAACAAAAATTTGAGTAAAAGTAGATTGTAACTCTCGATACTTCCTCGACTGCGCCGTTTAAATGTTAATTTTATCTTGGAAATAATTATAGATTTATTCGTTTCAAGATGTTGCCAGTTCCACACATGAGTTAATATAATTAGAACGTAAAACACCTGTTTACTGATTCGTTTCCATCCATTCGAGCGTCACACGAAGATTAAAGATTAAAGATTGCAAAAAAATTTTATTTTATTACTTTTATGAATGAAAAAAAGAAGAAATTCAAATTCCTCTTGACTTTAATTTTGCAGAATATTAATATCTCTTTTAATAAATTTTGCAGGGAAGAAAAAAAATTGGAAATTTTCAATTTTTCCTTGATTTCAAAGAATAATTTTTATCTCTTAGAAAGAAAAGTAACTTCTTTTTTTTGCAGAGACCGATATCTATACGTTATTGCAGTAGCTTCGCGTGAAAAATAAAAGAATACAGTGAAAAGAGAACGGTGGACGTAGGCAAAGAGTAAATCGAGTTTTCTCGTCATTGTTTCACTAGATCGAGGGCGAAGAGAACGAACGAGATACTCACTCCGTAGACTCGATGGTGGGCGTAGTGGGCATGATCATGAGTATGCAGTTAACCAATATTGTAGTGATAATGAAGAGGGAGAACAGTGGGTGAACCAATATATAAATGGCCACTCGTCGTATCGGATTGAACGGGTCGAGGATCCACATCGCATCTGTCGCTGAGAACCTGAATATGTCCTTCCCCTTGCTGATGACGACGAAGGTCTGGTTAAAAAAAAAAAATAAGAGAAACAAATGATATTACATTGAGAAAATAGCACGTGAATAAATCCATTAAAAATCTTGTAAAAAAAAAAAAAAATTATATAATAGAAGGATCCAATTTCTCCTGTTAAAAAAATTAATATATTCTCCGATATTCTCAATATTTTTATTATAACCAACAAGAAAAAAACGTTTTGTTGCTGTAAAAGAGATGATACGATTTATTATTACGTATAATTTGAGATCTGTTTTTATCATATAATTATCATTTAATTATTTAAGCTGATAAAGGGAGGAGAGAAGATAATTGTTTCCGGTTTCGAAATAAAATGCATCGATACCCTTTGATTATGATAGAAGTTATCGATATCCTCGAGAGGTGTGGAGGCCAACTCGGGTGGAAATTCGTTGTGCAGTCGGACCGGGATCGGTGCTCCTTGTTCGAGCATCGGATCCGGCTGAGGACCCTCGTCCTCGTCCTCGTCGTCATATCGAACCTGCGAACGAAACACTTTTAAACATCACTGTCCATTGATAAATCCCGCTTTATCTTGCATCGAATCGTCATTACCATAATCTCTCTTTTTTTTTTCGTGCTAGAAATTATTTACAGCTAAAAAAAAAAAAAAAAAGAAATTACAATTACCCTCGTCATTTTGCGCGAGGATAATATTAAAATTTTAACAAATCGAAAAAAAAATGGAAAAAAAAAAAATAAAGAACCAACGAAATCAATTGAGAGTGATCAGTGAAACAAATATTTCCAAAATATAATATTGTCGATGTATAACATTTCACAGAGTTATAATATAGTGTTGTAAATTATTATTATAAGATTAAAAACAAAGAGATTGTTGCACGTATGCGTTTATCATTGGAAATATTCATTTTTTATTATATACTTGTCCGCTATGAGTGCACCGGTGTTATTCATAACCCGCTTCTAGATCAGCTCTACGCGTTCCTAATTCGTTCCACGGCTCATTGTGCACCGCAAAAGAATGTCCCGAGCTTCGTTTGGCAGGCGTTCAGAGATCGTGGTTTCCGCCATATTTTTTTCGAATCTGGGGGAATTGTAAGATTCGTCGCAAAATATTATCTCATCTTCGATTTTTATCTTTCGATCACCGATATTATACGAACAAAAAGCTTTCTGATATCTTGAAATTAATTTTAACACCACCAGTGTCATTTAAATTTTCTACTTATTATTATTATTGGTAAAAGTGTCAATGCATCATTATCAAAATGTTAAGTAAACGTAATACAATCATGATATATTTCGTGTCACGAATTTCCAATCTATTAAATAGGAATGTAATTCAACGGATAAAAAATTTATTATAAAGAAAATATTCAATTCAGTAATAAGCAAAGAATTTATTTTGATTTTAAATTTTTCAAACATTTTTCAAACTATTATACGATACGAAAAATTTAGCCATGCAATTTCGATTTTTATATAAAATTTTTTAAATAATTATCATACAGTGAAGTAGTAGAAAGTAGTAGTAGAAATTTCATTACAATACATATTGCAAAAAATATAAAGTATTTAGACTATTGTGCAACGAATATTACGGAGATGGTTACATTTCCAGTTTTTATCTTTACACTTATTACGTGTACTTTACCGATAGTACAACGTTGGCCCACATTTCTCGTTCTTTCTCTTTTTTTTTCTTTCTTTCTTTCTTTTTTTTTTTTTTTTTTCTTCCTACTTTGGAAGCATCGGGAACATCTATTCCGTGTCTAGTCTGAAAAGCAGCTATGGCGACTACTAGTCGTATAGAAGGCGTATGTACATGTTATATATACATATACGTGTGTACAGTACGAAATTGGTGCTAAAAGCGGGTCGTGAACATACGAACCTGGATAAGGTCCACGTGATCTGCTCGTTTCCGCTCCCTCTCCGCGGAATTTTCTGCCGAGTGATTATTAGAAATTCGAGGTATGCCCACCTGCTTTTCTTTATTCTTTCCTTTTTTTTCCCATTTTATTCGCCCTGCCACTTAACCCTATTGTCATTTGGATTTCTTAAGGATTTCGAGGAAAATGCGAATTTCTTTTTTCCTTTTTTCTTTTTTTCTTTTGAAATTGGAATAAAAATAGGAAGATGATAACAGATGATGATTAACGATATCGACGGAAGATTCTCTATAATTCGTACAAAATCTTTTCCAGATTAAAGAAAAGTTAAAGAAAAATTTTTTAATATATTCTCAAGTTATTATCTCGAACTTTTTATAAAAAAAAAAAGTAATATTTCGAAATTAATTGGATCGTGACCTAGCCTATTTGGATTAGGATCTAGAAAGCATTTCGTAAAATTCCAATAGATAATAACCATCTTGTCAAGCTATTACAGATGCACATACATGAACCTACTCCTAATGATGAACTATACACTAAGATCTATTCAAATCTAATTTATACAAGCGAGAAGTATCTGTCGATGAATATTCAGGCTGAATTTCACGGGCAGAGAGTAGAACACACGGTGCAAGCAAGACACGTTCCTCATCTTTTCTTCCTTCTTTTTTTTTTTTTTTTTTTAATTGCTTGAATAGGCGCTGTAGCAATCTGGAGAAAGCCCATTAACCGATGATTCCACGTGATTTATTTACAATTGAAAATTATTCTGACATATTTATCCCAAATTATGGCTACAGAAGATCGTTTGAAATTCCATGCGATCGATTTTTCATATCAATTAATAGAAGAAAATATTCATGCGTATCATATACGTCTTCCTCTTCGAAAAGAAAAGTTTGTTTCAATGAATAATCATGAGATTTATCTTCTAAGCATTTTCGTTTCGATTATCCCAGAATCAGAGAGACTTTGCTTTCTCTAATATCGAAACATTGTGTTCTCACGAAGTTAGTTTAATCCTTGTCGTAACACTTGTTCGACTTCTCGTTGCAAAAGGATAAGCATATTTCCTTCTGAAGAAAAAACAAAGTGGAAAGAATCGACAAATAATCATGAGATTTATTTATCTCGAAGGTTGTCGCTAAAAGCTTCAATTGATCCAAAGTCGAAAAAATATATGAACTTGTTATTTCTTTTCTTTTTATCGAAATACTAAAAAAATAAAATCATTCGAATTTATTTCAATTTAGAAAAAGAATATCCGTAAAGTACATTTATCTTTTTGAAAACAAAAAAAAAAGAAAAAACTATGAAAAATTTGATTCAATAAATTGATTCACAAAACGTAATGTAACGTAAATTTTAATTTGTCTCGACAATTATAGATATTGTAGAAAATTTTTTCCAAAATTTTAAAACAAAAAAATATTAATACGCTTCAATCATTCTTCTTTCAAAAAAAAAATAAAAAAAATAAAAAAAATAAAATGAAATCCCGTTAGAAAAAACTTTCAATCATGAACTTAACCATCAAATTCATCTCGCAAAAATGTCCAATCTTCCAAAATTTCGATCAATCTGTCAAAATCTATCCACTGATAATCACGAGTCTCTTTCAAGCAATTTCGAATCTCCATTCCCTTAAGCGATAATCCACCTTCCTCTAGCGAAGAATTGAGAAAAGTTTTCTCGCGGATGAAATTTCCACGCGATCGATGTTCTTCGATGGAGGAGAGAGAGAGAGAGAGCATCGCCTCGCCTGAACACTGTATTGCGACGCACCGACGATAAATCAATACGATCCCAGGAGAGCGGCCACGCCATTTGCGATCATGTGCGATTCGCTTTGCACGTTCGCTTATGCTGCTGCTGCTGCTGCCGAGGCGCGCAATTTAATGAATATAAAAAAAAAAAAAAAAAAAAAAAAAGAAAAAGGAGGAGGAGTTGAAAAAAAAGAGAGAAAAAAAAAAGGGTTATGTACAAAGAATCTCAGCTCCAAGCATTGCGGATACGGCATACGATCTATAGAAGCGTTTCCAGGCGGCTGCGAGCTCTATAAACCAGACGTACAGTACTTGACGAAAAACAAGTTGGGTTCCCTTCTCGCGTTTCATTATTCGAATCTCGTCTCCGAGACGGATTTCCTTGGATTTATCCCACCTTTAATAATGCATCGAGTTTTGTTTCATTAACGAGTGTATTGACGGTGGTTGTATTCCTACAATTGCGAATCGGTTTTTTTTTTCTTTCTATCTTTTTTTCATTTCAAACGTATGGATTGAATTTTTTGAATCGATGGATTTTGGTAACAACGTGTTGAGGTGTATATGTTGTTATATTTACATTTATCAATGTGATAATTAAATTGTTTTAAAAAAAATTATAAATAATATCTTGAAGTTGAATTCTGAATTATTGAAATTTTATATCTTTTTAGCCAAGTTAATTTTTAATCTCTTTTAAAATCTAAAATTCGCTATATTCTATTTCATTTATTTAAATGTATTGAAATGTAAGATCTTCGATATTATTTTATTTACAAAGAAAAAAAAAAATTAAATTCTAAAAATTAAATTATAAAATCTCATTAAATATAATTCGATTTTTAATTATCCAATTTTTGTTAAATTATTTTTTTAATAATACAAATATAAATATAAAATATAAATATAAATATATAAAAGTGGCTAAAAATATCGAATGAGTCAATTTTTTTCTTTTATTGGACATCGGATTATTTTTAGCGTGGAATAATGTTACGATAGATATCCTCATGTAAAAATTGTTCACGAGGAAATAATTTCTTTATAAGGAGAAACGATTTCGCGGATGTGATCTTGAAAATCGGCCAAAAAGTCATGTTAGAATATTCAATCAGTAATCCAGAATTCATTTCATTTTTTCCATCTTTTTCTTTCCTTCGTTCTTCGCGATAAAAACTACTTAGTGATTTATACAACATGAAATATATCATCTAACTATATCTTAATTTGTTCGAAATATAATTTCACTTAAAAAAAAAACCCGAAGATTATTAAACAAATCAATTTATCAAAAATATATCACTTGAAAATATTTCCTTATTAATTAGTAAATAATTTTTTAATTTTAATTAAAAATTTTCTCGTTTCGATCATATTCCTTAAAAGTCCAATCTAAATTTCTTATAAGTGAAGGAACTTTGTATTTGATATACCAACTTGTTTCATCAAGCACCGTGCTATATTTATACATAATTTTTAGCAAAGAAGCCTATTCGAAATAATGCGTGTGTAATCTTGCCACCGAACGAACGACTCGTTTCAATCTCGTTCGATCGATGGTGTTTTTCTTTTTTTTTTTTTTTTTTTTTTTTTTTGTTGAAATATCATCGAAATTTTTACATATTTACCTCAACGAAAATTAATGAACGAAACTTTCATTCTCGATTTTTAATGCATTGTAATATTTTATCTCTCTCTCTTTTTTTTTCTCTCCAATAAAATATCGAAATCGGAGTTCGAGCAAATATTTTAGCAATATTTATGTGCAAAATCGAAGCACAGGCAAGGCTCGTTTTGTCTTTGTTGCAAAATATTTGTTGGCAAGAACAACTCGCGAAATAGCGTGTTTTCAATGGCGGTATAATATATATATATACATATGTAGAATAGAACAATAAGCGCGTTTTGTTTCATTGATATTTGATGTGTTGCAGCATAGTGACACAATTATGATATACGTTTGTATATACGTGTGTGAACGTGACCACGATGTGAACCTCGATAGGGATCTTCTTTTTTTTTTCGATCGATCGACAAATAGCATTTTTTATAGCGTGAGTAACAATGTCCTTACTTGTACAAAACAATGCAAGCGATTTACAGGGTCTACAACTCGATACGGTTTTGCCAGATAAAATTCTTTCTACGAGTGTAGAAATACGTACGATGAAAGTGATTTTTGTCCCATAATAAAATTTTATTTTTTAATTTGTCGATTTAAAAATTTAAAAAAGGATAATTTTAAAGATGTTGATGAAATTAAAATGTAACCGTGTTCCGTGATGTTTCTTCAACTGTGTAAATTTTAACAAAGGAACAAAAGGATAAGAAAAATTCTTCGTTGTCAGTGTCTTTTGGTCTGCCAGAAAATTGATATGCACTACTTAACCCTTTGCAATCCGAACAGTATTCGACATTTTATCTCAACCGGTCTCGGTAACCTACTTTCCAAAGATGCTCATAATTTAAATACATTTTCATATTTCTCGTCTCAATTTTGATAATAACTAAATACATCCTTCCACTTAATATATTTCTATTATATTCTATTATAATATTATTTTATAAAAACGAATTTTTTAACGATCTTATTAAATCTCTGTAATTGTTGAAAAAAATCTTTGCATAATATGAATCTACAAAAATTAAATAAAATTAAAAAAGAAAATCTTCAAGATCAAAATTTTTTTATCAAATTCCTACTTCAAAAATATTCATTTTCAATCGATGATAAATCACTTTCAATCGAATAACTTGTACCAGCATAAAAAACACGCAAATAACACGCAAAAGCAAAAAAAAAAAAAAATTATATTCCAACAAGTAATAAAACACCATCCTCCGTATTATTAATTAATAAAATTTCAGTCAACGACTCGTCGTGCAATTAATAATCTTATTGCGGATTTATCGACACGTGGAAACGAGGCAAGCGCAAAGGAATCGATGTGTACACCGTGGCACTGGTGAAAATTAAGTGTCTTGGTGGGTGGACGTTGCGCATCATCGGGCAAATATGAGTGACAGAAGTGTGTACGATCGATCGGATGTAACCGATTGCACTTACGAATGTACGAAGATGGAAATCGCGTATATATGACGGTCTATTATACGTGTATGAATAGGATGCATTTTATGGGCCATTTTATGGTGTATGTGTGTATATATATATATATATATATATATATA